GGCTGATGGGTGCCAGAGGTTTCAGCAACAACACTCTGAATTGACTGGACTTGGCTACATAAGTGAGACTCGGATCTGCGGCCTGAAACTTGGGAAGATGTAAACCATCTCACAATCATTGTGATTTACTTACAGCTAGTAGTAGCTAGTATTTCTTTATGCTGACCTCCAGGTAGATCTTTAAAAAAAAAAAACATGATTTATCAATCAATAATTTATTTATTTTTTTTTTTTTTTTATTGAAACTAGGGTAAATACAGGAATTGGACCTGATATCAGCCTCTCATTTTGTGTTCAGACTGTAGGAGGGACAGTACCTGTCAAGTGTACTTCATGTTGCTGTTCCTTTAGGGCTTATTCACACCATGGTGCACGCGTTCTGCAAGGGCACAATGAAAACAATTGTTCTCTATGTGCCCTGTTCACACCACAACACTAATATCATGTGCAGATTTTTTCTGCGCAGGAATCTGTAATGTGTATAAAACATATTGAAGCCTGAAAACTGTTGTCTATGCAAGTGAAATCTATGCATCAGTTTTTCTGCACATATGGTGTGAATGAGGCCTAAGCTCACATATATGTATTTCAATAAGGAAGGTTATCCCATTGCCAGGGACAGTCAAACCTCATGTCTTTCCTAATCGTCCACCATGAAGCTGATTTTTAGCCCCTCTAATCAGGTGTCCTTTACTACAGAGGCATAGCTTTGCTCGAAGGCTTGTCCCTAGCAGTACGCCAGACTACAAATGCACCCAATGGCATGCACTGGGAGAAACAGAGGCAATGTGCTGATCCTGGTGCATGCCACTGTTTTCTCTTCTCTCCTTTTTTTTTTGTACCATAGTGTGGTGGTCTCACTGCCAAGGTCCCAAAGACATAATAGAAGCTGCTACACACTCACCTTAAAGTGGAACAAAACCTTCCTATCTCTTACAGACAAGGAAGCTGCCATCTTTGCCTGTGATCTGCACTTGCCATGATGCTAACATTGGAATATGGCAAAGCAAATGTGTTCATTATCATTCATGGCATGCCTTGTGTTTTGGGAAACAGTTAGGGTCCTTTCACACAGGCGTTCCATTTTTTTCTTCATTTCAGTCGTGTTTTTTTTTCTTTAAAAATGGGAACTAAACTGATCAAGTGTACTTTCGTTTTTGATTTGTTTACAGCCCTTTTCGATCTGTTTTTTCATCTATTTTTTATGAGTCATGGATATTTTTCAAGACACTTTACTCTTCCCCAGCATGCATTGTGCTTCCCATGCTGCTTTGGGGTCTCAGTGACCTCAATAAATATTTCCTATCACTGTAGTCATGACAGGCATTGTCCCATAATCTCTTTATCCATTGTCCCATAATCCCTGAGTCTCTTTAATGTGGCACATCTTTGGCCATGTATCCATCCAAAAGTGATCTTGCAGGCATGTTACTTCCTTGTCTGACCACTACCTGAAATTCTGCTATTTTGCAGAAAAACGGATGTTAGCGGATCGGATGTAAGCAGATGTTGTTCCGTAACATACGTTTTTCATCCGTTCCTTTTTTTTTTACGGAGGAAAAATAGGTTTTCTTCCGTTTAAAAAAAAAAAAAAACAGATGTTAACAGATGCGGGCATTAACGGATGTAAATAGATGATCATCCGCTTACATCCACTAGTCCATAGAAATACATGGGTGTCCGTTTTTCATCTGTAAACGGACAGATGAAAAACAGACATATGGAACACCCTTGTGAAAGGACCCTTAAGCTGACTGATTTAATTTTTTTAAAAAACACTTACGTTCCCGGTATGCCTGGAGTGCTAACTGTCACATTTTGCTTGTGCTGTCAACCAAACTGTCAACCGTCGGTGTCATAAATGATCACATGTGCAACATCATGACAGTTGCAGATCAAACAGAGACTAAGATGGCAACTTCCTTGGCTGACAAGAATAGGAGGGTTTAGTTCCCCTTTAACTCGAGGATATTAGTGACCTCTTCCCTAAACCCCCCGTTGGTTGCTACCATTGGTAGGAAAAAACAAATATGCTAATTCCCATTTTGCATACCTGAAGCCACAGTGTAGTGCTGATCCTTCTCTCTTTTTATAGCCTAGTTGGCCAATCAGGAGAGTGGAAGGTGAACAGGTAGCACCAGAACACTGTCTAGCACTGGGGACATCTCCCATCGGCTAATTATGGCAGAGAATGTGGAACTGGCAGCACAGGGTTGCTGCCTTGCAAAAGGGGCACCTCTCACCAGCCAGCCATGGCAGTGGTGCATAGCTGATGGTACAGGGCTGTTGTCTGGCAACTGCTGATGCCCAGGCAAGGAGGAGATAGGCTGAGCAGGGGCTACAGAAGGAAAATACAGCTGAAAGAAAGGAGTAGAGTGTGTCTTTCGCTTCCAGTGTGTCTTTGGCCACCAATTATCGCCCCAATGCTGTAAAGGGGTTTAGGGAATTTGGTATTGTACCTAGCTGAATGGCCTACAAGGACGTTGAAGTTTTGATTGTTAGTAAACTAGTAAAAGATGGTTCTTATTGGTTTCTTCAACAATTAAACATCAACACAATACAGGTGCTCTTCTTGAAAACCCCTTGGATGAGCATAGTGTGGCAGCTTTTATCCTTCTAGACATTTACTGGTGTGGTTACAAACATGGTGAAGGCATGAGAATGGTCCAGGAAGACAAAGAAGAGGTTTTTCTCTTCATAGGAAGGGCAATTAATATTAAATTGCAAAGATGTTAAACATACCAAGAGACACCTTAAAGCATCATTCCGCAAATTTCAAGGCAAAGGGCATGTTGAAACGCTTGGTATGTATCATGATATCGATGGTCGTGCAGAACAGGGGGGGGGGGGGGGGGGGGGGGGGGGGGGGGGGGGGGGGGGGACTTGGTTGAAGGGGCGTAGAGTGGTGATGAAGTCCCGCGGGGTGGATGGGTACTGCTGAGGAAGCTGAGAAAAGGGGGGGGGGGGTGTTTTTGTCAGATTTACAGAAGTTTCAGCCCAGACAATATGACGCACACTGCCGTTAATGAAGGCCCTGACGGGCCAGAACTCCCAGGCGTACCCCTTTGGGTCTCCAAAGAATATGAAGAGTCGACTGCAGTATGCCAAAAGCCATCGTGGACAAAACACAAAAGTGTGGGAATATATCTGTTGGGACTGATGAAACAAAAGATTAAGAAACTGTTTGGGCCCATGGATCAACGCTATATGTTTGTAAGTTATTTTATTTTCTAGATACAAGGCCTAGTGGTATGATTATTTTGGGGCTGGATTTTGCTTTGCAGGTACAGGGATTTGTGGGGTAATGAATTCTCGATACAGTAACCAGGAGATATTGGATTGGGATTTTGCATCGTCACAGATTCTCTGGACCTCCATATGATCCCATTTATCAATTGGTTAGGATAGCATGGGTTGGCAGAGGAAAGGCTGGAACATTTTGGAGTGGGCCAGTTAAATTTGTGTGAAGAACCTTCTGGTGGGTAGATTAAGTGAAAGCATTGCAGTGCGCAAGCCTAAATAATGCACTGAACTGGTAATGGCCTTCGTGCCATGAAGAATTTTCGTGCAAGACATTGTGTCAAAATGCTTCAGTCTAAAAGCTGTTATGCTTGACAAGGATATGCTGTATGCTTTAGATAAACTAGGCATACTGTGAAAGAAAAAGTTGTGTTCTATGATGTAATTGTTTTACAAGTGCCTCTTCAAATGTAATCTAGACTTCAAAAGCAATGTCCAAACTGGCAAAACCTCTCAATCAGTGGGGGTTATAATTTTGGCCATCACACCGACCTGGTGCTTCCGGGTTGTGAGAGTAAACCTTTCAAAGGACCAATTACAATAGCATTTTTCCGATGTGTGTATACAGCTAAGCGATCGCGCAAGACAACTTGTTGGCCAAGCCTATGCTTCAGATTAAAAGCTGTTATAACTGTAAAAAGGATGCTGTACATACTAAGATTGAATTCCTTGGGGGTTGAATAAAACTGGGATAATGCTGTGAGCCATATTGTCATTTCATTATAACTGGTAGCACCTGGATGCCTCTTAAGTTTCAAGATCAATTCTCATTCCATCATGACACTTTTCTGTATGCAAAAATTTTGCCACAAGAATGTGAAGCAGTTTTTTCAAAAACAAAGCAAACATGACATTTCTGCTTTAACAGGCATACAAAAAAAGTTCAAAAAAAATTTAAAAAATTAAAAAGCTATTTGCATGATATTCCCATATGTCCATATTTTTAGATCAGACTACAACATCATTCCATATATGTTGGTGTACATCCGGCAACAAAAAAAAGTCTCAGCTCTAATAAATTTCTACTAACTAAACTCATCCAATATTGGAAAGTTCTACCCATAAAGCATGCCCTTATTATCTGACAGTAAAGTTTTCTTAGAGATACAGCTGATATGGTGTTCTTTCCTCAACGACCTTTATCTCTGAGCCAGGGAAGGATTTTACAATATGCAAGCTTTACAAATGCATAACCAAGTTTTATGCTTTAATCTTTCCAAATGATTTATGCGAGTAACCAATTTTTCATTTCCATGTGCTCTAAGTCTGTGAAATTACAGACCTTCTCGAAAGTGTTCTAGTAAACAGGATGCGACAGAAACATCAACAGGTTTATAGTTCAACGTAGCACATCTGTCTGCTGGATATTGTACAAATGGGGCAGCTGATCAAATCCAAGATACTGTTCTCAGATTTATACATATCATCAATGAGTGCTAAAAGGAATGACAGCCATGGGATTCTAAAAGTGGTTTTAATGTCTTGCATTTAAAGACAGAGAAAGAGCTAACAGAGCTAAATGTGTTCCATCTGCTCTAGGACCCTGTGTTGATTATGAAGGTAAGGGAGACTATCAAGTAGCTCAGCCGTTTATATCTCATATACACTCTATTGCCAAAAGTATTGGGACACCCCTCCAAATCATTCGATTCAGGTGTTCCAATTACCTCCATGGCCCACAGGTGTATAAAATCAAGCACCTAGGCATACGGACTGCTACAAACATTTGTGAAAGAATGGGTCACTCTCAGGAGCTCAGTGAATTCAAGCGTGGTACCGTGATAGGTTGCCACCTGTGCAATAAGTCCATCCATGACATTTCCTTGCTACTATATATTCCACGGTCAACTGTTAGTGGTATTATAACAAAGTGGAAGCAACTGGGAACAACAATAACTCAGCCACGAAGTGGTAGGCCACATACAAAGACAGAGCGGGGTCAATAGAGACATGTTCTCTGGAGTGACGAATCACACCTCTCTGTGTGGCAATCCAATGGACATGTTTGGGTTTTGCGGTTGCCAGGAGAACAGTATTTGCCTGACTGCATTGTGGCAAGTGTAAAGTTTGGTGGAGGGGATATTATGGTGTGGGGTTGTCTCTCAGAGGTTGGGCTTGGCCCCTTAGTTCCAATGAAGGGAACTCTTAAGGCATCAGCATACCAAGACATTTTGGACAATTTCATGCTCCTAGCTTTGTGGGAACAGTTTGGGGATATCCCCTTCCAGTTCCAACATGACTGCGCACCAGTGCACAAAGCAAGGTCCATAAAGACATGGATGAGTGAGTTTGGGGTGGAGGAACTTGACTGGCCTGCACAGAGTCCTGACTTCAACCCAATAGAATACTTTTGGGATGGCTTAGAGTGGAGACTGCAAGTCAAGCCTTCTTGTCAGTACCTGACCTCACAAAATGAACTTCTGGAAGAAAAAGGTCAAACATTCCCATAGACACACTCCTAAACCTTGTGGACAGCCTTCCCAGAAGAGTTGAAGCTATTATAGCTGCAAAGAATGGGCCAATTCAATATTGAACCCTACAGACTAAGACTGGGATGCCATTAAAGTTCATGTGCGTGTAAAGGCAGGCGTCCCAATACTTTTGGCAACATACTATATATATATATATATATATATATATATATATATATATATATACACACACAATACTAGGCCCTGTTTTTCAGAACCACCAGCACATTAATTGGTGAGGTGTGTGCTGAGTTTTTAGGAGTATCCAGTTCATGATTCTGGGCTTCACCCTTGCAGACAGAGGAGGTCTTTGCCAAGGAGTCAGAAGGGCTCCGCTGAAGAGGGACAGGTGGAAGCCAGAGCAGCAAGCAGCTGCTAAGTATACGGACCCAAATTATAGTGTGGAGACTGTAATGCCTACTACTCACGATGAGAAAAAAACGCTTTCAGAGCAATCATCTCATAATCTTTTCGTTAGTACACAGCTTTGGAGAGCCGATCATGACATTTCCTGCAAAAATATTTGAAGGGTGAAGCACGAAAATCTTTCTGGTAAGATAACAGAATGAATAATTTTCAAGTAATTAGTATAGTATTTGTACAAAAAGAATCAAGTGACCAAGACCGCGCATGCTTGGAAATGAAAGAATACATTACAAAACAGTATAATACATTACATTCCTCCCAAAGTTGTATTCTGTTTTACAAGACTTTTCCTACCTTTAGTAACCTATTCGTGTTTGATGTGAGACTAGCATACAAAAAAAACCCAGACGATCATTTGTCCGCCATTCTCATCATGTGTGCAAGGCTTAAGTAAGGCCAGAGCAGCAGTGCTGAATATGTAAGCAAGGAGGCCGAATGTCGTTTGTTTTTTTGATGAGAGAGCCATGCTGAAAACCCCTGCGAGAGAAACACGTTTTGTGTTTTTTAAACCTTCTTCTTATAAAATTGGGCAAGAAAAGGCCTTAAAGGAAAAAGTGAGTGGCTGCGTCCTTAAAGTTCATCCATGTGTAGTGATCTCTCTCTCTCTCCATTTAGAAAAAGGTAAGTATAAAAAAAAATTTCTTGGGGGGGGGGGGGGGGCTCCACTAGGAGAACGGAAGGACTCTGGGAAGGGGGAGGTGTGAAACTGAGCTTTAACAAAGTTCACTGGACTATTCACATCAGCTTTTTCCCTTGAGCAGTTTACAGTCTAATTCACATGTTGATAAATGAATGCAGATATATGCGCCTCTCAGACTGATGTAAGAAACAACAAGCCTCTCGTGTTTCCACTGACAGCAACTGAAAAGAATCAAAAAGGCAGCAGTCATGTTTTTAATGGCATTGGCTACCTAGATCTTGGGTTTTGTACAGCCCCAGTCTAATCTATCTGTCATGCTGATATTGCACATATGTTTACAGTACAATGCTAAAGTTAATGGGAAATACAGCTGTTGATAAATTCCAAGGCTTGGATATTTAATTGGGAACATGAGCTATGTGGTGGGAAGAAATGACATGATCAACTTATAAAATGTTTATGAAGGCAAGAGCTACCGTGTAATGTTGTCAGTGTTCCCAGTGTGCAGGGATATAGTGCCAACATCATGCATGAGAGCCTTTGCTTTGCCTTGGTGGATCTTGCAGCTGGTCCTGGTGTTGTGTCCTCTGCCTGATGCTGCCATGGACACTTAAGACATCACAGGGACTGGTGTCGGGACCCCGATAGGCCCAATTTACAGGTCCAGGTGTTTGTAATGTGAAAAAAAAGCTGAAATAAAGGCACCTAGACCTCAGACATTTCTGTGAGGCTGCACATGTAGTATGTCCATCCCTCTTACCACATGATTCATTGGACAGGGCCATTCAGAAAGTGAACTTGAGGTCTCGTTGCTGTTTCCTGGATTCCAAACTGATTTTTAACGAGTTTTGATGTAGAAAGCTATCACGGCACAACATTCAAATAAATTGACACGTCTACCGACAGGTGATGCAAGCTAGTTTGTACATGTTCCTTGTAGCATTTTGACATATCTGAACGTTCCATACAGCTACTGTAGTGAGTCCCACTACACTTCACTATTGCTACCCACAGCTATCAGTATGATGGTGATTCTTTGCTGGGCTTTAGCGCATGGTTGGTGTTTGTTAGCTCTATTTTACTGTTGTAAAGGCTTCAACTTTTCACACTTTTGTAGACATTGGTCTCTAACACAGCTTCCTCAACTTGTTTAACACAGAGGAATCCTTGAAATAACTTTCTGGTCTCTGGGAACCCCTGCTAAAAGTTACTATAACTACAACTCATTAGTGTGATGGCTATTGGGAAGAATGCTCCTTATATTTGTGACTATTGGGAAAAATTACCCCCTTAAAGGTAGCTAAAAAGATCAGTTGTGTCAGTGGGAACTTATCTGAGAGGCAGAAATTGCTCATTGCTTGAGGAACCCCTAGCAACCTCTGGAGGAACCCTAGTTGAGAAACCCTTATCTAACATGTTCTACATTAAGCAAGACCACAGTGGATATACCCTGACTTCCTCTGAAAATATACTTCAATATTATTAGAGATTTTACACTCAACAGAGAAAGGAAGAAGGGTGCTGATGCAGTGTGTGGATGTATAGAGGGTAAGATAGGTAGAGATAATCCAAGGCTTATATCCAGTGCTATGGCTGAGAGTAAAGATTACAGTAATGGGTAGGGTCTTGGTTATGCTGTGGCATGGAAACAATCAAACCCGCACTCAGAATTTGCCGTTGAACAGTGATTAGTTGAGTCTAATTGCTGTTGGACAGAATACACAGTTTTTTAAGAAGGCACTTTGATAAATGAAGCCCAGAATGCGAAACGCTATAGTGGTAACTCAGAAATCAACTTTTGGTGGATTAGGATCCACAGGCTGCTAAAAAGTAGTTTTTTCAGCTGTGTACTATCGTGGTGTTTAAATAGGTCTTCAAATGTTTGATCCATGTATTTAAAACATGTGTAGCTGTTCATCATAGCATGTAGCCAAATTTACTAAATACAAACAATCAGAAAACCAAGCTTGAATGTATAGAATCTCATAAAGATCTCCCAGACTCTTTTGAATCCTGTCTTAGTTTAGAGAGCATGTCATTTGAACCTAAAGGGAACCAGTAATGGCTGGGCTTGTTCAAGAATCAGTTTACTTTACCTTAAATTAATATCATTTTGTAGTTTTTAGTCACTGTATTTAGTTTTTTGCTTGTGTCTGATTACTCAGCTTGAGATATGCAGGCCATAGACGTGTCGAAAACCGTCCGTTTAAAAAAAAAAAAAAAAAAAAAAGCACAAAAAATTGGTCGTTCAATCGGCCGACGTTACCACCAACAGTAAAAAAAATCGTCCGATTTTCGTCTCATCTACGGCCGACATTTAATTACTTCTGTCCCTTGCAGAGAGCTCTGCTATTATATTTGACATGAAAAAGTATTGCGGTTGCAACAATGTATCCATTTGTATCCATTACGGATACAGATGTTTTTATTCGGATACAAATAGATACATTGTTGCAAAAGCAATACTTTTTCATGTCAAATATAATAGCGGACTGGAATTCTTATTCTTTTTCTTCTTCTTGCAGGTCACGGCTCATGCGCAGATTTTTTATCGGTAAAATGATCAGCCGATTTGCCCATCACTGCCGGGAAAATCGGCCGATCGGCAAAATTGGCCAATTTTTTTCCAATTTTACCGATCAAAAAAAATGTGCCAAAACCCCAAAAACCAGCCGACCAATTAACCCACTAACGGTGCGAAAATTGGCTGATTTTCGACCCGTCTATGGCCTGCATTAGGGGGATGAAACCTTACCTGAAGTCTGAACATCACAGTAAGGCTCCATGCACTAGCTTTTTTTTCTGGTCCTAGAAGCTGTTATTAACATTAATTTTTCTGCTCCTATAAGCTAAATAGTATTCCCCTGTGTCCATGCACACTGTTTTAGGTTACAAGCGTTTTTCAAGCTTCAGAGTTTAGGAGCAGAAAACGGGTTTTTTTTTTAGAGTTTTTGGGAGTGCTGCTTTTCCAGCAGAAATAAAAATGCTAAATGCTCCTAAAACGCTCCTAACAGCTTTTTTTTCTACCTTTTTCTTCCTGCATGTACTGTAAAACCACTACTAAAATGCTAGCCCCCCAAAAACGCTTCTAAAAGCTACTAAAAATGCTACTAAAAATACTATTACCAGCGTTTTTTTAACTTAAAGGATATGTTCACCATTTGGTAAAAAATAATAAATTCACATTTTTTTTTGCATTTATTATTTTTTGCTGCAGGAGCCTGTAAAGCATTGCACCAGTGAGCAGCAGGTCTCCTGCAGATCTGTCAGTATATCTGCTTGCCCATACGGGATGTACGAGAAAGCAAATATATTGACAAGAAGATTCAATGAACTACCACAATGCTCCACAACGCTGGGACAAGGTCCTTTGGGGGGGGGGACCCTCTGCCCAAAAGCAGACCCCATTTGGCCTTGTGTGGTTCAGGAGGGGGGTTGCTTGCTTGTCCCCCCCCCCTTTTCTCAGATATGGTCTGCTATGGATTTTGAAAGGGATTCCACGGCATTTTTTTTTTATTTTGGCATGA